GTATCCTCCTATTCTTGACTCTCCTTCTTCCTGTTGCTCCAGGTGAATAGAGACCAACTGTCTTGCCTTGAATGGCTGCTTGTATAAGCTTTTAAGACCCCAGGCACTACCCAGTGAACTAGGAGGTAGCACAGAAGCACTAAGCACGTTACTAAGCCAATTAACTGGGATGTCCCATGAAACCATGACCCTAAGCCTCCAAACCAAGGAACCAAATCCCATGAGGTGTTTGGTTGTACGCAAACAACCTCCGCAGCTACGCTTTTTTTTTTTGTCGTTGTAAAGATGTCTTATCACACAGCTTTTTCCAATTCATCTTTTTAACAGGTGTTCAGCTTATTGACAGGACTTACGATAATTGGCTGTGTAACCCTACCCTTAATCGGATGTGATTTTTTAAAAATTAGATAATGTTGAAATACATAAAACAAAAGCAAGCATCACCTATGATGCCTCAACTTGTTAAAAAATGATGAAAATAAGTTAAACTTCCTTCTTTATATCAGCAGCCCTCTCCTTCTTCATTAACCACGGTTATAAGTTTCATAATATCTGTTTATTGACTTCTTTTCTATGTGTGTGTGTTAGTGTATGTACACACACATGTAATTTTTTATTAAAATAATACATAATAAACATTTTTATCTGTAACACATCTTTTATGGCAACAAGATATTCTATTATGTAGGTACATCATGATGTTTTGAACTGTTTTTAGAACATTTAGTATGCTACAAAAACCCATTGCCGTCGAGTCAGTTCTGACTCATAGAGACCCTAGAGGACAGAGTAGGACTGCCCCATAGGGTTTCCGGGGAGCAGCTGGTGGATTCGAACTGTTGACCTTTGGTTTGCAGCTGAGGTCTTAACCACTATGCCACCAGCGCTCCCGCTGTGCGACCAGGGCTCCAGTATGCTTCCTTTTTTTTTTCCCTAAGTGTGTAGTGATAATAGCAGTCTTCTCCAGTGGTATCTAAATCCATTATAAATGCACCTAAAGGCTGGAGAGAAAGCATACATGTGTATAAAAAAAATGTGGATATTACATAGGAAGATAACCTCCCTGTGAGGTAGTGGAAAGGGAAAGGTGCAGTGAAACTGTCAAATATTTCAGATTAATGTGATTTTAAAAAGGCAAGTATAGCCAAACTGTCATGATGACTCAGCAAAATTGCGATGACTAATGAAAAATTAGCTTAAATTACAATTTTAAAATACACTCTTGTGTCTCGTGTTCAAAATTTTAAAAGATTTGGTTAAAAAAATTAGAGTGCTAATAATAAGTTCATTTTAAGTTAAATGTTCAGTTTGGCTCTTTTTTCCAAGTAAAATGAAACCCTAATTGTCACAAAATGTTAAATACATAAACAGATAGCTAAATAAATAATCAGATCTTTGCTGGTAATCTACCTTGGATTTTCATCATTTCTGTTAATTTATTTTACTTTTCCTCCTATTTTTATGATTAGAGAGAGAAAGTTGCCATAGATTGGATGAAAGAAATCATTTCTTCCCTTTTTTCATGTTTTCAGAAGGTGGTTTTACACCTGATTGAATTCATTTAACTGTTTTAACAAAGCTGATACAGGTTACTGAATGATGCTCTCTGTTTAGTGACTTCAGATGAAAGCAATAAAACTTGGGGAAGGAACACAGTCTGTCGCCAAGAAGAATTTGAAGATGTAAAAAGGCATTTTAAGAAAAAAGGTTGTACCTGGGGACCAAATTCGATTCAGATGAAAGAAAGAACTGACTGCAAAGAAAGGTACAAGTGTGATAACCGTGGTATCCCAGTGTTTGCTGTGACAGAGAGCAGTGCTTTTTTCAGTGTGGCGTTGACCAGACTTGTCTTTTAAAAAGCAGTACAGAGAGACTTGATTATTAATTTCATACTCTAGGATGAGCTTATCATACTAATTATAATTTATAAACACTTAAAAAAAATTCCCTGATTTATTTTTGTCTAATTTTAAAGTTTTATTTGTACTTCATTAGCTTTTCAAAACTCAGAGTACGTATGTGTTCTCTTTACTACTTTAAAAATCTTGTAATTGGCGTGTATTCACCAAAGCCTAATCTGTGTGTCGTGTGGTTCTATTATATCAAAATAAACATCTTTTTTTGTAGAATAAGACCTCTCTCAGATGGCAACAGTCCTTGGTCAACCATCTTAATAAAAAGTCAGAAAACCATGCCCTTGGCTTCATTATTTGTGGACCAGCCAGGTAAATGCATTTCAGGAATTTCTTTGAGTTAGATTTAGCATCTGTGTGTTCTGATGCTTTGCTTTAATAGTCCTCATGTGGCTGTTAAAGTGTCATAGAGAAGGTTGCAAGTAATAACATTTACTTATAGTTTTCACTTAAGCTCAAACATTATTTTCTGTCCAGTAAGACTTTATGGTGGAAAGTAATTTGGTTCCACTTTTTTTTTTTTTGATACTTTGTAACTGCTGTTCTTTACCAAAAAAATTAGTAGCAATATTGATTACATAGAACCAGATTAGTTTAGTGTAGAAGTTAGTAAATAGGAAAATATAGACCCTCTGCAAGTTCTCCTGAACCTAGAGAGCTGAGTTCCTGACTATATTACTACCTCTAGGTGTGATGAAATCTTATGAAGAGGTTTGACTACTGCTTGGAGAGTATTACCTGGAAATTTCTCTTCAATTTGAATGGATCATAATGATACTGATATTAAAAGGTTGCAGAGCTATGGAAATTACTGAGAAACTTTTAAGTATTTTTATTACCAAAAAGAAAATTGGTCTTTCTCCTTGACAATTTAAGATAGCCCTTTGCTCTTTTCATACTGTGGCCCTGTTAGAGATGTTTTAGCCAAACATAGTATAGATTGCCTTAATTTATTATCAGTGCTGTGCTCAGTTTGACAAGTACCATTTCACTGACTATCCACGTTCCATTTCTTCTTCTGTTTTATCATGAGGATGTGGTTTCAGTATAAATATCCCCATAAATACATTTGGGTGTACACGAGACAGGTGCTCTGTAATTCTTGGATAAATGCTTTTTATTGTTCAAATCTATTATTGTATTCTGACTCTGGCCTTTTATAAAGGGATACTCCTCTGATTTATACATTGCAGTTTATTGTGAAAGATAATGTAAAGGCTAATGATGAACAAGTAATAGTAGTAAAACTGTTATTCCAACAGTATATTCTTCATTATTTGTGGCCTTTTGTCTAGATAAAGGTATTAAACAGAGAAGTCTTCCTGTGTTTTTTGCCCCTTAATTCTTTTGTTCTTTTTTTAGAATATTTTGGTCTTATTAATAATTCCTCTAAAGCTCACTTCAGGAGTTAAGAAGCAGAAGGGTGTACACTTGTCTGCTGTGCCTGAAAGCCCTCCTCCCACCACCCCTGCCTCTGTGTGGCCAGATCCTTCTAGTCATTTATGTCTCAGCTCACATGAAAGCCTTTCCTGACCACCTTAGCTAGAAAGTAGTATTCTGCTCCCGCCTGCCTGGCTCTCTATCCCATTAATTAGGTTTACTTATTCATAGCTCTCATTTTCTCAGTCACTCCCAAACTACAATGTAAGCTCCACAAAGGCAAGGGTTTTATGTTTTTCATTCCCCCATTCTGCTCTCAATGCCAGGAACATAGTAAGCACTCAATGTTTATTAAATGACTAAATGAACGCTAAAAGGACTATTTGAACTTACATAGATGCTGATATATTTACCTTGACTTTTGGTGCTACAAATACATGCCAGTGGTCATAACGAATGGGAAGGATGATGGATGGGTCCATGTAAAGCCATGACTTCTTCAGGGAGAAATGTGGGTTTTACTGCTCGGCGATGATGCACGTAAACATACAGAAGGAGATCTCGTGTACTTAAATCTCTGGATTTCCTTGGTCTGTAGCACCCTCTCTCTTTTTTTCTAACTGTGGTAGATAATTTGTTCTGTATTCAGTACTACACTGTGCATTTGAATCACCAAAATGCATTTAGTGCCTACTGTGATGAAGGCACTGTTCAGGGAAGACCCCACAGAAGAAGAAGAAAAAAAAAAAGGGAGACAAGTGAGCATGTTCTCAGAAGCATACCATCTACTGGTGTGCACAGCTGACTGTGGTCTGTAAGTAAACGGAAGGGACACCTGAGAGAAGCTGCCTAGGTTTCCCAGGAAGCAGGGATTGCTGGTGGAAGATGGGGCAGAGCTAGGCTGTAGGCAGTCGCAGTGTTTTGAGAAAGAGTTAAAAGGCACGATGGGACTTGGTTAAGTAATGATGGAGAGTGAAAGGATGAACTAAGGAAGAAGAGGGCACCTTGGACAAAGGGCACCGATGGGAAGATTGTGGGTCTGACGGGAGAAAAGCCGGCTTTCTAGCTTGCCCAGATTATAGAGCATATTTTAGATGTAGTAGGATGTAATGCTGGAGCGATAATTGGAAGTTCTATTGTAGACAGCTTTGAAACCAGATTGAGGAATTTTTAGTGAACACATTCATGGTTAAGCAAATAATGAAAAGAATTGTGGCGTCCTCTTCAGCTGGTATAATTTGTAATGCTTTGGGCCTTTGTGATCTCTTAGAGAATCTTCCTCGATTGCAATGATTCCCAAACTCTAGTAAAGGCTTGTTAAAACACGGGAAGCTGGGCCCCACCCCTAGAATTTCTGATTCAGTAGTCCGGGGGAGGCCAAGAATTTGCATTTCTACCAGTTCCCAGGCAGTGCAGATGCTGCTGGTCCAGGCAGCCCACTCTGAGAAACACCCATCTGTTGCATAACCGGTCTTTTAAACACAGGCTAGCTATAGATAATGGTATCCGACATTTTTTAGATCTGAAGAGGACGTATTTTAAATAACGTATCATAATGCCCATATATATGTGTGAATTTTTTCTTGATGAGTTTGTTTCTATACTAATTTCTATTATTCGTGCCAGTGAATGACAGTTTCCTGAATGTTAGAAGCCAGCAGGTGACTGACTTGCTGGTTCATCTGCAGGGAGTGTTGAGCAGTCAGGCCCTGGGCCCAGTTCCTTATACTCCTCCTGGATGAGTCATTTGCTACACTGAAAAGAACCTCAAAACTTTTGTTTTTAGAATAGTTACTTATTAGGTTTTAGCTTCATTTTGCAATACAGTTTAAGTAATTTTTACAGTAAAGCAGAACTACAGTGCATATTTTTCTACCTTTATTTAGGTGCTTGTGAAGAGCCAAAGCTTTCCCCTGATGGATTAGAAAACAGAAAACCAAAGCAAATAAAATTGCCTAACCAAGCCTATGTTGATCTACCTCTTTGCAAAGATAACCCCAGAGAGAATTCTGTGGAACCTGAAAGCTTTGAGGAGGGGGTCTCTGCAGGTTCTGCCTTGGGCACTCCTCAGGTGACTCCTACAAATAGTCTGAGTAGAGCACCCCAGAAGAAGAAAATGGAATCTGCTCTGTATGAGTGTACCATGCTGCTGGCATCTGTGGCTTTGGGACTGGATATTAGAGAGCTTGGTAAGGCACAGGCTCCTGAAGAATTGCTGCTCAAGGAAGAAAAGAAGAAACGAGAGGGAATCTTCCAGCGTGCCTCCAAGCCTCGCAGAAGTGCCAGTCCTCCGACAAGGCTGCAGTCTAAGAGAGAGGAGAGCAACAGCCCGCCCTCACTCCTACTGTCAAGTGCTGTGAACCTTCTGTCTGTGCCTTCGCTTTCCACAAAGTGCTTGTTGCAGACAGACAGTGAGGACATGTCTGTGGGCAGCATACACGTCACCTGTCACCCAGAGATTCCTGCTCCACGTCTCTGTTCTGCCATCCATGGAAGTTGTCATGAGCCAACCTCAGTGTCAAGACTTGAGACTGATCACAGTCTACCAAAAAAACTGTTTCCTTCCCCCATAAAGCAGACACATGGGAACGTGCCTTACTGTGCTTCTTCAAAAGGAAGAGCATCACATCACAGACGGACCATGTCTGATGGAAATGCTTCTCAGACCCCAAGTAGGTTGTGTTATTTGGGTAAAAAGTGTAGAGTTTAGAATGTAAAATTGTATGTATATCTGATTTTTCTTTCTTTTTTTTTTTGAAGTGAATACACTTAAAAATTTGTATTGTTCACATAAGATGTTTGATTTTATCCTCCTTTTTTATTTGATTTTAATTTAACTACATTTTGGATTCTGGGAAAGCATAGTTAAATGTCAGTAACTTAAATCTGTGTGGGCAGTGGTGGTTCAGTGGTAAAATTAATGCCTTCCATGCAGGAGACCCAGGTTCACTTCTTGACCAATGCGCCTCAAACACAGCCACCACTTATCTGTCAGTGGAGTCTTGCATGTTGTTATGATGCTAAACAGGTTTCAGTGGATCTTCCAGACTAAGGTGGACTATGATGAAAGGCCTGGCGATCTACTTCCAAAAATTAGCCAGTGAAACCCTATGGATCACAATGGTCCAATCCCATTGTACATAGGGCTGCCATGAGTCAGGGGCCAACTCAAAGGCAGCTAACAACAACAACTTAAATCTATAATAGCGTATTAAAATAGAGAATTTGGAGAAGCAGACCCAACTCTCTCCTGTTACGTAGAAGACAAGTCATTTGCCAAATCTAAACCAGAAATGAGTAGGAGAGAGAAAACTGGTCCTCCGATCTCCAGTGAGAGCCCTTGTCTCCTGCTTCATGCTGCTTCAGTGCTCAGATTATGTTGAGATTGAGTTCAGCAGGTATTACCTCTATTGATGTGTGCAATACACCAAACCCTTCAATGAAATATATGTCCAGATGTGGAAGCTCAAAAACAAAAATAAATTTTATAATTTTTCTAATCCTTAAAATGAGAGGGACTTGACTAGAAGGCAGCCACTAGTATTTTGATAGCACTATAGGTAATAAAGCACCTTCTTATGAATCGTCTCTCTTAATCTTTATAGTGACTGTATTATGCACATATCCTCAACTCCGGTAAAAAAGTTAGAACTCATGCGAAATCAATGACTTAACTAAGATCACACAGTGAGTTAAGTAGCAGTGTCAGGATTTGAACCTGGGACCTTTTGACTGAATAATGATGCCTCCTTCTTTCTCACATCTATGTCCTTTCCTGTTCTGTTGTTGTTAGGTGAGATCGAGTTGGTTCTGACTCATAGCAACCAGTCGGTTGGCAGGTTGCTGTCTTCCAAATTTCCAAGTTTCTTTCCTGCTCTAATACTCATTATATGAGTATGTACATGGTTGGATTATCCCATTTTGTGCTAGAGTGGTACTCACTTTTTAAATATCTGTGGTTACGTGGCCCTTTAATACTGACCCTGAAGGAGACATGTGGCTACTTAGGAACAACAGGTGATCTGAAGTTGTGGGACTAGGATTCAAGTTCTATTTGAACCATTTGATTAGCTTGTGATCCTGGGGGAATTATTCATTTGGTTTCCTCATTTTATTGCTTTGAGAGGTGTCTTAATGTGATGGGTAAGAATATGGAACTTGTCAGGGTCCAAATATCAGCTGTGTCTCAGCTCTGTGACTTATTTGCGTGTGACCTTGGGCAAATCATTTAACCATTTAGTGCTTCAGTTTTTTCATCTGTAAAATGGAGATGATGATAATATACTTACCTAATCTATTAAGATAGTAGTAAAAATTTAATAATATACTAAGGGCTATTGTTGTTGTTAAAACAAAACAAAGCAAAACTTGTCATCAGATTGATTCCTATGCTTAGATGTTGTTAGGTGCCATCAAGTTAGTTCCAACTAATAGTCTCTCTGTGTACAACAGAAGGACACACTGCCCAGTCCTGTGCCATCCTCACTGTCGTTGCTATGTTTGAGCCCATTGTTGCAGCCACTGTGTCCATCCGTCTTGTTGAGGGTCTTCCTCTTTTTCACTACCCTGTACTTTACCAAGCATGATGTCCTTCTCCAGGGACTGGTCCCTCCTGATAACATGTCCAAGGTATGGGAGACAAAGTCTTGCCATCCTTGCTTCTTAGGAACATTCTGACTGTACTTCATCCAAGACAGATTTGTTCATTCTTCTGGCAGTCCACAATATATTCAATATTCTTCACCAACATCATAATTCAAAAGCATCAATTCTTCAGTCTATCTTATTCATTGTCCAGCTTTCATATGCATACGAGGCAATTGAAAATACCATGGCTTGGATGAGGCGCATTTTAGTCCTCAAAGTGACATATTTGGTTTTTAACACTTTAAAGAGGTCTTTTGCAGCAGATTTGCCCAGTGCAGTGCAGTCATTTAATTTCTTGACTGCTGCTTCCATGGACATCGATTGTGGATCCAAGTAAAATTGAAATCCTTGATAACTTCAGTCTTTTCTCCGTTTATCATGATGTTGCTTATTGGTCCAGTTGTGAGGATTTTTGTTTTCATTACGTTGAGGTGCAATCCATGCTGAAGTCTGTGGTCTTTGATCTTCATCAGTAAGTGCTTCACGTCCTCTTTGCTTTCATCAAGCAGGTTGTTTAATCTCCATATTGCAGGTTGTTAATGAGTCTTCCTCCAATCCGGATGCCACATTCTTCTTCATATAGTCCAGCATCTCAGATTATTTGCTCAGCATACAGATTGAATAAATAGGGTGAAAAGATACAACCCTGATACACACCTTTTCTGATTTTAAATCACACAGTATCCCGTTGTTCTGTCTTAATGACTGCCTCTTGTTCTACATACAGGTTCCTCATGAGCATAATTAAGTGTTCTGGAATTCCCATTCTTTGCAATGTAATCTATAATTTGTTATGAAAGGCTATTAGAGGTTACGATCACTGTTCCATATAAAGATAATTACATAACCTCGTATAGCTCATGAATAATGCGTATGGAAGATCTTTTTTATTTTATAAAATATTGTGCTTTCATTCCCTGTATCTTTTCCTCCACCTCTTCTCTTCAAGTACTATACCTAGGCATTTCTTACAATAATTTTTTTCAGATTAATGTTCATTGTCTTTTGATAAATCAGTTTATTTTTCTTTTGTAATGCATTAGAGTATTAGTAATTTATAATTGCACAAGCAGAAATCTTAGTACAATTACCTCATAAGCAACCATTCTTTTTCTCCTATGAGCCAATAATTATTTGCCAAAATGGTAATAAGTTACTTCTTCAGAACAAAGACAAGAAGGGGTACTATGTAAACACCTAACTGCTTCCCTATTTTCATTAATTTTTCCAAATCATAATCTAAAAGTAAAGTTTGATCATATTAACTATCATTTCTGAAAGTCTTAAATTTATTTCAGTCTAATCCATTTAGAAATCTACTGTATTCATAATTATCATTGGCCTATGCTCTGTAAAAGTGGTTCAGATGGTTAAGTGCTGTGCTAAGTGAAGAGTTGGTGTTTCAGACCCACCCAGAGACATCTCAGAAGAAAGTCTTGGCAGTCTGCTTCTAAAAGGTCACAGCCATGAAAACCCTATGGAGCACAGTTCTGCTCTGACGCACAGGGTCCCCATGAGTCTGAATTGACACGATGGCAACTGGTTTGGTTTTATGTACTATGAAGATTTTTTAGTTCTGTTTCCATACGGTTTCCATAGGTGGGAGCACTCTTAACTAACCTTGTAGTACTTTTTCATTAAAAAAAAAAAAAAATCATATCCTAACAGTTTCAGAAAATTTGTGTTCATATTTTTTGTTAAAGGTCACTTTAAAGATTACCAGTTGCATTATCATCATAGTTATTTTTCTTAATAGTCATTGTCTTTCTAATTGCGCACTGTCTTTGCCTTCTTAACCAGCTGGTACAACTGTTATCTCAGCCACTGAAGCCTCTGAACTGCCACTTAGGCAGGTTTTGGGGCTGCCATACCCGCCTTCTGCTCCTCGCAATAACCTGCCAAGTGTGGACTCACCTGCAACCCGAGGAGCTGTCAGCATTGTGCCTCGGCCTCGCCCTTCCTCCCTGAGAAGCCGATTGGATCCGCTGCAGGCTCCCCTGTGGAGAACAGAGTCTCCGCCTGCACAGGCAGACAGTCTGGTGGGTCACCCAGGACCAACCCCTGCCTGCCTTCCTTGTGCCAAGGAGAGAAGTGAATTGCACAGGCCTTCCTTACTGGACGCAGATGTGGAAGGTCAGCCCAGGGATAACACAGTGCCTTTGTGCAGAATGAAGAGCAAAACCAGCCGGCCATCTATATATGAGCTGGAGAAAGAATTTCTGTCTTAAATTAAGTGCCTTATATTGTTAAAGCATTTTCTTTTTTTAAGGTGAACAAGTTAAAACAGTGTGTCTACCTTTGAATTGTTTCATGCTGCTGTGTTTTCAGAAACTATGGCCACATCACCAAAGTAGCAATGCAGAATGTCTGACTTCTCAAAAAATGTACGAGTGCTGTTCCTTGTCTATATTGATTTTTCCACTGGATTTATACCGAGTAACTTGAAATACACAAAAGTGTAAAACAAGAAATGTAGAGCAATGTAAAACTATGCTGGGTAGAATTACCTTAAGTACACTTTTAATGCTTTCTTTGTTCTCATTTGTGCCCTTGTCTATCAGTATACCACAGAAATTGTAATGATGGGCACTGTTTTTTTTTTTTCTTTTTTCGTTCATTCCTCTTTCCTTCCCTCCTTCCCTCTCTTTCTTCCTTCCTTGTTTCTTTCCTTCTTTGTTTGTCGTGCCACAAAAAGCCAAGGAAGAGCTGTTACTTTCTTGGTATGAATAATGGATATTAGTAAGGAAAGGGTGTCTATTAAAAAAAAAATCTGATGACTGGAATAGATACAGAGTCCTAGTTAAACTACCTAAGCTTAGCAGTAGACTTACAATGCATAAATATTTCAAATTCTCACCTAAATTGTGCAGTGACATTTCTCTATTTGAGGACTTTACTGAATGTAAGTTATAAAAGTTTTAGTGAATGTAACTTATAAGAGTTTTATCTATTAGAACTCCAAAATAGATTTTCAAAAGATCAGTCATTGACATTTGGCTAAGACCATATTATATACACTTGAGAGAGGTTAATCTGTAGGTACTTTCTGTGGAAAGGGTTCTTGCTTCAGCAGTAGCCATATTATACTTGGTATCCAGAAGTGTAAAGCTTTTTTTATTTTGCAGAACAGTTTTTAAGCCTGAGGTTACACGTGTCTAGCTCTGTTCACAGATATCATGTATTGTAAACATTCATGGCATTTAATTTTGTCTGTATTCAAAATGCATAATTAATAACCCCAAATACAATTACAAACACTGCCAAGTCAAGAAACAGTACTTTTAGACTTTAAGTATTTTTTTATTTCACTAATTGTGGATAAGTATAAGGCACATGTTGAGATAAGCTGATATAATGGAAATGACAAGTGCATTACACGTTTTTTTAAAATGGGTTTATAAAATGGATCCTTGAGTAGAGGACCAGGATTTTAAATGATTTAGAATTATTTATGAATCACTTTTACACATCATACATATATGATACAAATAAACTACTGAGTTATTAAGCTGCATCATGGCTATCAAGGAATTTAAAGAATTTCCCTGGGTTTCTTTTGTTAAATCTATTGTGTTTCCCTTCTTCCACTAGAATATGAATATTCAGTTGACAGACAATAAATATTTAATACTTTCCATGCAATGAAAGAAATAAATTACAGACCTTGCTTGATACTTCATTTAAAATTGTACCTTGGTTAAAGTTTACTGAATAACTGAAATTTCAGCAATTTAAAATAAATTAAAAATTACCTAAAATTTAAAATATCTCACCTGTCGTTTAGGAAAAGGAAAATCATTTGACCATTTTGGACTATCTTTGTCACTTAGTAGGTATGCCCCACCCAATGGTGAGCAGAGCGTGGAAGTATTGTATTAAGAGCAAACGTGTTTTGTCCTAAGGAAAACAATCTTACGTTTCAGCTTCTTGTAGCAAAATCTCAGGTATTTATTAACGTTTGTTATATCTTCGTCCATTCTATGCTTTGGCTTCATTTTGGGTGGTTATCAAATTATGCAGTTGAGATTTGATTTCCTCAGAATGTTACCACAATTCAAATTATGGGCTACTTTGTATTTGGTCATTTAGGGCATGTAACTTCCAGCTAAAAGTAAAGGAAATGCATGTCTAAAATAGTAATAAATACATGGAAGAAAACGTATAGAAACTATGTCCTCAGTTTTGCTTCTACCAAAACATCCCGTGCGTGTGAGTGATGTGGTTATTTGTCTGTCTTCTCCCTCTCTGTTCTCTTCCTGCTCCCCTCTAGCATTATGTTAGTCAACTGTACATCCTGATGAATTTTAAAATGAAAACATATTAAAAAGATAATTACAGTATATGGATTCAATCTCACAGGTTACTGAAGCTCATTATTTTTGCTGAGATCTATTGTACATTTGCGATTTTCTGTGTGTATTAGTGTACTTTGCCGAATCTGGTTATTTATTTTCATAGAGACTTAATAGTTCACTGAAAGATGCATTAAGCTGATTACTGTTTGTCAAAATTAAGGTGCTGCCACTGCAGAGCTTTAAGGCATGGTCCTGATAAACTGTATTACAAAGCCTATGACTGAGAAAGATGTTTACATATGTTGTTTATTTTTTTAATAAACTTTTTATAGCCAGTCTATTTGCTCAGTGCTTTGATCTCCTGCTAATTGTGACTAGAGTTTGTAATACTTTATTTTGTATTTAGTAAGGAAAAATATGTTAATAGAGATTATTAATGCTTAATAAGCCAGATATTAGCCTGCTGAATTCCTTAAACTGAAGATCACTACATGAGTCAAGGGATTAATTGCTTTAAAAAGGCATAATGAAATGTATTTACATTTTTTTTTGGTACATATATGCATTGAAAAGTTACATTTCATTATGAGTTTTGCAACTCCTTTTCAGAAGGCACACCTTTTTTTTATTATTGTACTTTAGATGAAGGTTTCTAGAACAAACCAGTTTCTTATTAAACATATTGTTTTATGACATTGGTTAACAACCCCACGTCACCACTCTCCCTTCTTGACCTTGGGATCCCTATTACCAGCTTTCCTGTCCCCTCCCCTGTAGTCCTTTCTGCTGGACTGGTGTGCCCCTTTAGTCTAGTTTGTTTTTTTTTATGGACCTGTCTAATCTTTCACTGAAGGGTGAACCTTGGGAGTGACTTCATTACTGAGCTAAAAGGGTGTCTGGGGGCCATACTCTTGGGGTTTCTCCAGTCTCTGTCAGACCAGTAAGTCTGGTCCTTTTTTGTGAGTTAGAATTTTGTTCTACAATTTTCTCTAGCTCTGTTTGGGAACCTCTATTGGGATCCCTGTCAGCAGTGAGTGGTGGTAGCCAGGCATCATCTAGTTGTACTGGACTCAGTCTGGTGGAGGCTGTGGTAGTTGTGGTCCATTAGTCCTTTGGACTAATCTTTCCCTTTCATCTTTAGTTTTCTTCGTTCTCCCTTGCTTCTGACAGGGTGAGACCAGTGGAGTATCTTCGATGGCCACTCAGAAGCTTTTAAGACCCCAGACGCTACTCACCAAAGTAGAATGTAGAACATTTTTTTTATAAACTATGTTATACCGGTTGAGCTAGATGTTCCCTGAAACCATGGTCCCCAAAGCCCTCAGCCCAGCAGTTTGGTCCCTCAGGGAGTTTGGATGTGTCTGTGGAGCTTCCATGACCTTGCCTTGTACAAGTTGTGCTGACTTCCCCAGTATTGAGAAGGCACACCTTCTCTGAATGGAAGTAGTATATGAACTGAATCTCAGCTGATGCTACAGAAATGTGGTTAATGAGACATTATTAACATTGGGACCTTCCTAGGATACTATATGGCAAACCTCGTGTAATTCTCTTTAATAAAAATGTTAAGTAGTAGTACCCCTATTTCATTAGATACGAAACACATAAGTTCAGTAGTTTTTCCATAGACCTAGCTTGTATCAAGCCACCACCATCTACCTGGTCACACTTACTGTAATCATAAGCCTAGTATAGAAGAAGAAAACAAATCTTACGTGTGAGCTTTGTAAGCAGTCTCTTAAGACCAAGGCAGGTTTTCACTCATCCAAAAATTTGGAAGTTTAGAAATGGATGAGTACATATTTAAAAGTAAAGCATTATGTTAGCTAACAATGGATACTTCCTAAGTACATGTGGGATGAAATGGAAAGTAAAACACACATATCTAGTAGGTTAGCTCAGAAAAATGGAGTATTCTGTTCAATGGATTTATAAATACAGCAAAATTATCATTTAAGAGCTGCAACATAAATGTTAGCTGCCATCAAATTGACCCCCAACTTTGGGAGACCACACGCACAATGGGATTGGACTGTTGGGATCCGTAGGGTTTGTATTAGCTGATTTTTCATTAAAAATTTTTAAATGCGCTTAAGCTATGAATGAATAATTTATAAGGATCAACACAAAGCTGGTTCCCATGAGGCGGAAATTAAAGATGTCCCAAATGTCCAACTTTTCCGTATGGCTGCACCACTCCATCATCTCTAACATCAACTACTCCTCCTCCCCTCAGTACTCTCCCTCTCGTCTTCGGGTTTCATAATTCACTGCAACTTCTCACAGAACTTATGAGCTGTATCAAGGAAGTGGCTCACGACATTGTGGAGGCTGGCAAGTTCCAAATCGGCAGGCCGGATGACGAGGCTGCTGGCTCACAAGGCTGCAGAAGCTGGCAAATCACATCAGACAATATGCTGCTGGCCTACTGGGCTGCAGAAGCTAGGGAATCCCAGAATAGGCAGGTCAGACGGCAGGCTACTGGCTCAGGTCCCAAGAACCGGAGGTCAAACAGTGATGAACTGGATGCAGGATCCAGATGCAGAGAGAGACCCCTGTCAGAGCACCCACGCGTATATATTGGATGCAGGCCCACCCCAGGGAAGGGCGTGACTTGAGTAAGGGTGGACTTGAGTCCACGCCCTCCTACAAGGCTGTGACTCAAAATACACCCCTACACTAATCCTGCCTCATTAACATAATAGACGTTAGGATTTACAACATATAAAATGGGGAATAATTAGAAGAATTACATCGGATCACAAAATGGAGGACAGCCACACAATACTGGGACTCATGGCCTAGCCAAGCCAGCACAGAACACCAACCATCACAGGTTCCATACACCTTATTTGCATAGTCCCACTGAATTATTGTGTGTAGGTTACAAAGACTATGGCTAGAAGGGCCATATTAAGTGATTCATTGCACTG